AAATAAATTAATATAAGTCTTTCAAATTTAAATTTAAATTTATAAATAATTAAAGATATATATAAAAATTTATATTTGTTAGTATTTGCTCACCTTTAATTTCAGATAATAAAATGAAAATGATTTTCTTTAGCGAATACATTTTTTAATGAATTTATTTATTTGTTTATTATATATTTATATAAATTTAAGTTTATAATTCATAAAAAATTAAAAAAAATAATAAAAAAAAAATTATGAATATATATTCTGATGTAAATGCAATATATTCTGATATTATTTTTATCGACATCGATAACGATATCACATTTTCCCTCACCATTAAGTGCAGCGGGAGCTCGTGATAATTGAATTTTTTCATTAGCTCGCCAGGTGCTGCACTCAGCTCCCCACTCACACACACTCACACATAAATCTGTGCAGCGGTTAAATATGAATTATGCATGTTCATTACATTTTCATAAGAAAGCATTTCCAGCTACCAAGCCTGGCCACGAAACAACTGTCGCTGTGACAACCCATTGCCGTTGCCACTTTTATTTCGCATTTTCATTTTGTAATTATTATTTCGACTGGTGTGGCATAAGTGCTGAATTATGAAATTATGTAATAACTGTTGGAGCCAGATTAAATTTCAAGCCTGAGTGATTGTGAGCGCTGGGCATTGAGAAGTTTGGCAGATGGCAAATGAATGAATGATTTAAAGGCCAACGAATGTTCGCGGGGCACACAGAATATTTTAAATATGTTCTCTCATTTTCATTATGCTTAACCAACAATGCATTTGCTCAAGTCTGCGAAACGTAAAGGTGGCAAAGCCTCTTAAGAGTTGGCCAACAATGATTCGAAGAGTATCGAAGACAAACTTTAATCATGTTGCATAACCGCGGGACACGCACACACACACACACACACACACACACACGCACACAACCATTTTCAGCCACTTTAACTGAGTGCATGCATTTTCTATAAAATGCAAGAATTGCATAAAATTTCAATAAACTGGCAACGACGACACATTCGACGAGACAACAGAGAGGGAGGCAGTGGGAGGCAGAGTGATGGAGAGGGTGGCAAAATTGGTTTGGGGTTGAATTTTAACCGAGAGAGTGCGGCGTCAGTGAAAATGTAAAATTTATTGCCAGCTGAATTCTCATTTCTCCTCGAATTCGTACAACTTTTTCTCATTTGTTGCCAAACACTTGGTAGGAAAATGTTCTTTAAGATTAGCGCACTTTGCATAGAGCTCAGAATGAAACAGCAGAGCTGCATTTTAAAGCGATTTTAGCTGCATTTCATATGCAAATGTTTTTGTTTCTATGCGCGCACGTGTTCAGGTTCTTTAAGTGCGAAAATTCACCTCAAGCTAAGACTAAGGATAAGCAGCAGAAAATTCGGGGAAAGTTTGTTTGCACTTGAGCAACTTTTCTAGACACTAACAAATGTATGGATTGGCTTAAATAATGCAGCTTTTGAACAATGCTAGATTCTAGCGGTTTATCAAAACTTAAAACATGGACGTGCATTAAGAATTATGTATATTTATATATTTTTTAGTTAACCATTTTTATATTTTATTAAACAAGATTTCTGTGTTATATATAAAATTAATTATTTTCAAAGACTAAATTTAAATTTAATTAATTTTTTTTTTTAAATTTGTTCTAATAAAATCGAATCTTCCTTTCGAAAGTCATATAATTTCTAAAATTAAATTAATATTGACATCTTTTAAGATAAGTACTTACTTTCCACTTAGTTCGCCCTTCCTTAACCCAAGCAAACTAATCCGTATTGTCTACCACGCCCACTGTCAGTGTATAGCTGAGTGGCTCAACAAAGAGCGGAAAACAAGAAAAACTAAAAAACTTGCCCAAGCTGTTAATTCACATATTTTGCAAGCTTTTTGTGTTTGGCTTCCATTTCTTGTAAGCAGAAATGTTGTCGGCCGCACGCCTTAAAGTATGCCACGTATTTTTCTTTACTCAGCCAGCAAACATTTATTACCCACTCGCCCACAGACCGGAGACAAATGGTTATGTTAAGCATCGTAAGAGCTGTTTCTCGTTTGTCAGCTTTGCGCTTGCGTTTCTATCTCTTCCATTCTTTATGTGTGTGGCCAGTACCCGTTGGGAAAGCGGTGAGTGTGTCTAGTTTGTGAATGGTTTGTTTTCATCTTGAAAGCACGAACAGTTAGTTGCTTTAACCAGTCATGCCGAATTTTTCAACCTGAGCGAGATGGCTTTTGCAGACCTTTGATTCAGTAATGATTCCCATATTAACTAAATAGTTTATTTTATTTTAGTTTTAGATTTTTGTAAATTTTGTAAATTTGATTAATTATTAATTATATTTTTTATAGCTACTACAATGTAAAACAGAAGTGAAATTTACATTTATTTAAAGCTTAAGCATTTCGATTATTGCAGAATATACTTAATTGACAGTTTTGTTCAGTTCTCTCTGCTGTTTCCTCTTTCTCTTGGCTTCTCTCAGAAATATTCAACTAATTGCTTTCGTTTATTTAACGCTTCACTGTCTACAAGTGAGACAAATTGCTTGCTCCCTCCTTCACCACATAATTGCGGTACAATGAGCTATTTTGAAGGCAAATAGTGCTACAATCAATCATATCTTGACTGTTGGCTTTTGTTGCGCTGAGAATAATTTGACTGTCCGTATTTATTTATTTTTTATTTGTAAATTTAATCATTTCGTTTATATTTTCATAGAAGTTAA